TTCCTCCCTGTGTAGTAGGTTATTTCCTGGCCATGATATAAATATTAAGCATCATCATCATTAAAAGTAAGGGAGATTCAGACAAAGGAAGAACGGCAGAAGAATAGGAAAAAAGAAAAGAAGGAACTAAAATTAGAAAATCACCAGGAAAACTCAAGGAATCAGAAGCCTAAGAAGCGTAAAAAGGGACAGGAGGCTGACCTTGAGGCCGGCGGGGAGGAAGTCCCCGAGGCCAGCGGCTCTGCAGGGAAGAGGAGCAAGAAGCAGGAGCGCGAGGGCAGGCCCACTGCCACGGAGCATGAGGATGGCGCCGGCAAGGAGCAGGCAGACGTGGGTGCGGGGAGGAGGAAGCGGAGGCATTCGGAAGGTAAGTGGCTAGCTCACGCCCTGGGATTTGTTCTGGAAACCTGAAAGCTGTGAATTTGGGATATTTAAGCCTGTTAGTCCTTGTAGGTTTTTTGTTTGCTTGTGTTTGAGAGAAGGCTCGCTCTTTCGCCCAGGCTGGAGTGCAGTGGAGTGATCTCGGCTTGCTTCAGTCTTCGCCTGCCGGATTCGAGTGATTCTTCTGCCTCAGCCTCCCAAGTAGCTGGGATTACTGGGATTACAGGCGTGTACCACCAGGCCTGGCTAATTTTTGTTTTTGTTTTGAGACAGCGTTTCTCTCTTGTTGCCCAGGCTAGAGTGCATATGGCATGATGTCAGCTCAGCACAAACTCCACCTCCCAGGTTCAAGCAATTCTCCTGCCTCAGCCTTTTGAGTAGCTGGGATTACAGGTGTGCACCACCACGCCTGGCTAATTTTGTAGTTTTAGTAGAGAGGGATTTCTCCATGTTGGCAAGGCTGGTCTCAAACTCCTGATCCGTCCACCTAGGCTTCCCAAAGTGCTGGGATTACAGGCATGAGCCACCATGCCTGGCCTCAATTTTTGTATTTTTAGTAGAGATGGGATTTCACAGGCTGGTTTCCAACTCCTGACCTCAGGTGATCCGCCCACCTTATCCTCCCAGAGTGCCAGGATTACAGGTGTGAGCCACTGTGCCTGGCTAGACCTTGTGTTTTGAACCAAGGAAGGGAAGGAGCATAAGCTTTGTGGCCAGGCAGAACTGGGCCCCGCCCAGGCAAATGACCTCACCGCTCGGCTCCCTTCACTCCATCTCCAGCGTGGAGGAGGGGGTTTTATAAACCCGGGCTGGGCTGCCTGGAGAAGTGAGATGATGCATGGAGTGTGCCTAGTTTAACATAAGGTCTTATTAAATGGTAGCTGCTAGCATAGATGCAAAATATTCTTTTACAAAATCTTTCTAATTACCTAGCTGAAACAGATTCTAAGAAGAAAAAGATGAAGCTCCCAGAGCATCCTGAGGGTGGAGAACCAGAAGACCATGAGGCTCCTGCAAAAGGTATTATCATTGCCATCGTGTGAATAGCACAGCTGGGCATGCTGCTTTTGCCGATAGTCCCAGCTACTCGGGAGGCAGGGGCAGGAGGGTCACTTGAGCTCAGGAGTTTGAGGCTGTAGTGAGCCATGGGCATACCACTTTCAAAAAGAAAGAAAGAGTGAGAGAAAGAGAGAGAAAGGAAGGGGGCCAGGGAGGGAGGGCGAGGGAGAGAGCAAAGAAAGAAAGGGAAAAATGCACTGTCCCTTGTAGGTTGGGAGAGGGGCCAAGAGATGCCCTCTTCTGGGGAAGGAAAATGTAAAGCAGGCACTTCTGGTAGGGTCTGACCCTCCAGAGGCATGTGTAAGAGTTTGAAGGTAAAATCAGTTCTCTAGGATGTGAGTCAGTCTTACAGTGCTTCTCACCTGCTGTCTTTTAGGAGAAAAGTAAAGCAGTCTGGTTTGGAGCTGGATGTTATCTTTGGAATTTAAACCCAATATAGCTTTCTGAGACCCTGTTCCCTTTCCCTCCTCCCCAACTCTCTTGTTCCTGCCTTTCATTGTTCTCTTAGAAGTCCCCTCAGCTCTGTCCCTGCCCATCTCTGGACCTATCACTGGGGTCTCCTTGTTTGCACCCCCAACCTCAGAATCTCATCCCTGGCCTTCACGGGCCCTCTGAAATGCTGCCTCTTACACGAAGCTTCTCTCTTGCTTCTTCAGGCCTGAAGCACTCCTGCCTGTTGAGGGGTGGTAAGTCATTTCTCTGCCATCTCCCCTAGCCCCCGGGCTCCTGCGGTTAAGAACAGGTCCAAGGACTCAAATGGGCATCAGCTTTATTAGCAGAGTTCAGTGACTACTAGCATTGGGTTAGATCTCTTAGCTGAAAACCCCCCTTTTCAAGTTTGTAAACAGTAGTGTCCCCATACCTGTAGCATGAAAAATTCCAGAAATAAACAATTGATGTTTTCAATTGTGTGCTGTTCTGAGCAGTGTGGCAAGATTTCTTGCTGTCCTGCTCTGTGCCTTCTTTACCACAAGAAGGGTAAGTATAGGACAGTAAGATATTTAGAGAGAGAGACCACATTCACATAACTTTTATTATAGTATATTGTTAAAATTGTTGTATTTTATGATTAGTTATTGTTAGCCTTTTGCTGCGCCTAGTTTGTAAGTTGAGCATTGCCATGGGTGTGCATGAATATATAAGAAAAGACAGAGTATATATAGGGTTCAATACCACAGTGGTTTCAGGCATCCACTCAGGTCCCAGGAATTGTCCCCCTGCAGATAAAGGGGGACAACTGGAATGGCTTTTTTTGTTGTTACATCTTTTGTTTTGAGATCCTTGTTAACTCACATGCAGTTGTAAGGAATAATGGAGACTCAGGTGTCCTTATGTATCCACGTTCCCTTTACCTTGTTGCCACTCCAGATAGCACTGTACACCACCATAGTACAGCATCTCAGCCCGGATGCTGACACTGATACCTTTCCACCTCCATCGCCGCCAGGCTGCCTCTTGCTGCCCTTCTGCAGCCACTGCCCCTTCCCTCACCCTCAGCCCTTCCTTAGCCTCTGGCAATCACTAATCTGTTCTTCATTTCTGTAATCTCCAGAATGTTCTATGAATGGAATCATACAGTATGTAACCTTTTGAGATTGACTATTCCTCAGCATTTTCTCTGGATATTCACCCATGTTGCTGAACTGATCAATAATCTATTCATTTGATTGGTGAGGAGTAGCCCGTGTTATGCATGCATCACAGTTTCTTTCATCATTCATCTGTTGACGGACACCTGGGTGGTTTCTAATTTCTGGTCATTAATGAATAAAGCCACAGTAAACATTGATGTGCAGGTTTCTGTGAACTGCACAGTGAACTAAGTCAGTTTTTCTGAAGTAGATGTCCAGTGCTGTGTCATACGGTAGTTCCATATTCTTTTAAAGAAACTGCCAGCTCAATAACAAACATTGGTGAGGATGTGGAGAAAAAGGAACATGGTGCACTGTTGTGGGAATATAAGTTAGTACAGCCGCTATGGAGAACTGTTAGGAGCTTCCTCAGAAACCTAAAACCAGAGCTCCCATACAATCCAGCAGTCCCACTGTAGGGTGTGTATTCGAAAGAAAGGACATCGCTGTGTGGAAGAGTTATCTGCACGCCCATGCTGGCTGCCGCACTGTTCACAATAACCAAGATTTGAGCAACCTAAGTGTCCATCAGCAGATGAATGGATAAAGAAAATGTGGTGCATGTACACAATGGAGGATTCAGCCATAAAAAGGAGATCCTGTCGTTTGCAGCAACATGGATGGAACTGGAAGTCATTACACGAAGTGAAATAACCAGGCACAGGAAGACAAGCATAGCATGTTTTCACTTGTTTGTGGGATCTAAACATCAAAACAATTGAACTCACGGAGACAGAGAGTAAACGGATGGTTACCAGAGACTGGGAAGAGTAGTGGGAGGCTGGGGACGAGGCGGGGTGGTTAACAGGTATCCAAAAAACAGAAAGAATGAGTAAGACCTGGTATTTGATAGCACAACAGGGCGTCTCTTGTCAACAATAATTAAATTGTACAATTAAAAATAATTGCAGAAGGCCAGGCGCGGTGGCTGAAGCCTGTAATCCCAGCACTTTGGGAGGCCGAGGCGGGTGGATCACGAGGTCAAGAGATCGAGACCATCCTGGTCAACATGGTGAAACCCCGTCTCTACTAAAAATACAAAAAATTAGCTGGGCATGGTGGCGCGTGCCTGTAATCCCAGCTACTCAGGAGGCTGAGGCAGGAGAATTGCCTGAACCCAGGAGGCGGAGGTTGCGGTGAGCCGAGATCGTGCCATTGCACTCCAGCCTGGGTAACAAGAGTGAAACTCCGTCTCAAAAAAAAATAAAATAAAATAATAATTGCAGAGTATAATTGGGTTGTTTGTAACACAAAAGGATAAATACTGGAGGTGATGGATGCCCCATTTACTCTGATGTGATTATTACACATTGCATATCTGTATCAAAATATCTCACATACCCCATAGATACCTACTGTGTACTCACAAAAATTTAAAATGAAAAAACTGCCAACTTTTTCAGGCATGGCTGTACACATTTTCTTTCTTTTTTTCTTTTTTTTTTTTGAGACGGAGTTTTGTTCTTGTTGCCCAGTGTGGAATGCAATGGTGTGATCTTGGCTCACTGCACCTCTGCCTTCCAGGTTCAAGCGATTCTCCTGCCTCAGCCTCCCAAGTAGCTGGGATTATAGGCATGTGCCACCACGCTGAGCTAGTTTTGTATTAGTAGAGGACAGGGTTTCTCCATGTTGGTCAGGCTGGTCACTACCTCAGGTGATTGGCCCACCTCAGCCTCCCAAAGTGCTGGGATTACAGGCATGAGCCTCCGTGCCCATCGGCTGTACACATTTTCTGTTCCCACCAGCGGTGTGTAAGTGATTCATTTCTCCACATCATAGTCAATACTAGGCGCTGTCACTGTTTTCTATTTTTGCCATTCTGATAGATGTGTGGTACCAGCTCATTGTGGTTTGAATTTGTATATCTCTAATGGCTAATATTGTTGAACATCTTTTTGTATGCACATTTGCTATCTGTATATCTTTATGTTGAACTGTCTGTTCTCTTTAAAAAAAATTTTTCCCTATTTTGTAATTTGGGTTGTTTGGGGGTTTTTCAGTTGTTTTTGTGGAGTTTTTTGTTTTTTAACTGTTGAGATTTGAGAGTTTTAAAAAATATTTTCTAAATATTACTCCTTTGTGGGACATAGGGTTTCTGTTTTTTTTTTGTTTTTTTTTCAGTCTGTTCCTTGTTTTTTCATCATAATAGTCTTTTTTAGGACAAATGGTTTTAATTTTGATAAAGTTCAATTTATCTATTTATTTTTCATGGATTGTGCTAGGAACTCTTTACCTAGCCCTAGAGTCTAAAGATGTTTTTGTTTTTTAACTATCTTATTGAATAGCTTTTTTACAAATCAACATTTCATGTATTTCAGGTGTACAACTTAATGTGTTGCCATATTTTATTTTTAGTTTTGAGACTGGGTCTCACTGTTGCCAGGGTGGAGTGCATTGGTGCGAGCATGGCTGCTGCAGCCTCAACTCCTGAGCTCAAGCGGCCTTCCTGAGTAGTTAGTGCTACAGCCACACGCCACCACACCCAGCGAATTTTTTCATTTTTGTGAGGACAGAGGTCTTGCTGTATTGCCCAGCCTGGTCTTGAACTCCTGGGCTCAAGCAATCCTTCTGACTCAGCCTCACAAAGTGCTGGGATTACAAGGATGAGCCACCATGCCCAGCCCAACTTAATGTTTTATTATACATGTACATTGTGAAATACTCACCACAATCAGGCTAATTAACACATTTGTCACCTCACATAGTTTACCTTTGTGTGTCTGTGTGTGTGTGTGTCTGTGTGTGTGTGTGTTGAGAACACTCAAGATATACCCTTTCAGCAAATTTCAGGTCTATGTTAAATGCTTCCTAGTCTTACCTTTCATATTGAAGTCCATGATCCATTTTGAGTTAGGTTTTTTATAAGGTGTAAGATCCTGTTTACGCTTTCCATCTTCCCGGCTCTCTCGTACGACTTTGGTGGTTGCAGAGGGGCGTGGCCTCATTGCTGCCATGTTGGGGTGAAAATCCAGGTTCCCCACTCAGCCTCCATTAGCACCTGAGGGCGGCCACTTCTTGCTGCTGCCAGGCAGGGCTCCCAGTACAGGCTCCACTGACGTCACAGCAGGGGCAGCCTCATCGCTGGCCTGTGTGGATGAGAGCCCTGAATTCCTGGTTGGCCTTCTGTGACACCGTCCCTCATTACAGTCTTCCAAGGGCAGAGAGTTCGGGCTCCCCACTCGGCTTTTGCTAGGGCGGGTGAGGGTGGAGCCTCCTTTTTTTCTGTGATGTGTGGCTGTGGTAGGGTGGTTATTGTATAAAAATTTTCTGTCTTGTTAGGCTGCCCTTTCCTGGCCCTTTGCCAAGAGAGAGCAGGTTTCTGTTCGGGCTTTTTCGTCTGTGCCTGTTGGTGTTCAGGTTGCTGGCTTCTTCAGCTCCAGATCTGGGTTACAGGCAGCAAGAAGCTCACCCACTGTTGCTCCGTAGGCCCTGAGGTCCCAGCTCGTCTCTAACTTTCAGAGTCATCTTAAGTTTCTTGTGTATATAATTTCAGGGTTCTCAGTTGTGGTGGGCGGGAGGAATGGGGAAAGTGTGTCTACCCCATCTGCCCAGAAGTGGAAGTCCCCTAGATGAGTATTTTCAGTCCTTCTGTAACAGTTGGTGGTTTCCTCTCTCTCATTCCAGGTCAGGCTGCTTTTGCTCATCTTCGTTCTGTGCATAGACAGCGCATGATCTTAGTGGGTGCTTAGGAAATCTGTGTTGAGTTCATTAAATGCAGCTCTTCATCTAGGAGGTTGTCATGCCGATGGCACTTGGGCACCTGCTCACTCTAAGAGCCAGTCCTTGACGGGTAGTAAGTGCTTCCAGGACGCTGGAATTGAACATATGCAGTGATTGCTCCATGGTGCTGTGGAGTCTGGTCATTAGAGGGTTAGCTCATTTCCTGGAAGCAGACAGGCATTGCAGAAGTTGTTTCTTTACCCTTCTTGTAGTATAGCAAAACAAACATCTTACATATTCTTATTTGTTTTGTAGGCAAATTCAACTGGAAGGGAACTATTAAAGCAATTTTGAAACAGGCCCCAGACAATGAAATAGCAATCAAAAAGTTAAGGAAAAAGGTATGGCACGTGAACAAACCCATGTGTATAACAGCTGGGGAGAACTGATTTTTAAATGTACAATTGTTTGTTTTTTCTTTTTTCACCTCAAACACTGAAAATGTGTGTGTGTCTCAGTGATTTTCAGGCTGCCCCAAAGGCCCTCACACAGCCTCAGCCAGGGTGATGCCTAGATTTTGAACTTATTTCGAAGACTTTGAAGAGAGGCTCCATTTATTTAATTTTTGTTATGTTTGGAAATTATTGTTCTAGATGTTTGCTCTCTTTTGCCTGTCCCGGAGCGATGGTTTCTTCTCCTTTATTTCACTTTGTGTCTCAGGGTGACTCACACAGCCAAGCCCCCACACGTGCCTGCTGCCTGGGTTTCCACGAGCAGAACACACCTGTGTAGCTTGCACCTGGGTTTCTTTTATTTTTTACTGTTGTTCTATTTCTGGGTTAAAGACAGAACATTTTAAGATAAATTTCCAGGTCAAATACACTCATTTGGTGTTTGCTTTTCTTTGTGAAGGTTTTAGCTCAGTACTACACAGTGACCAACGAGCATCACAGATCTGAAGAGGAGCTCCTAGTCATCTTTAACAAGAAAGTCAGCAAGAACCCCACCTTTAAGTTATTAAAAGACAAAGTCAAGCTTTTGAAATGAGCATTTCTGTATTTAAAAATGGATTCCATTCTACTAACTTCTTCCTTTCACTGCTGTCTATAAAATGTGTAATGAATTCCAACAACTCAAATTTTGCTTTCTGAAGCTGTATTTTTAAGTTAAGAAAAAATATATTTTTGGTATAACTTTTATGAAAAAAATAAAATATATTCTTGTCCAAACTTCGAAATTTGTTGTGGCAAAAGTTATTTACTTTATAAAATAGTTTTGTGTGAAAAATTTTTTTCCATGTAGTATAGCAACAGATGAAAAAGTAATTCCTCTTTTGATCAGACTAAAAAGTATTCATTTTAACCACATCATTTATACACTTTTGTTGTTGTTTTTTGAGAAAGGGTCTCTGTCACCCAGGCTGGCATGCAGTGGTGCAATCTCAGCTCACAGCAACCTCCGCCTCCCAGGTTCAAGCAATTCTCATGCCTCAGTTTCATGAGTAGCTGGGATTGCAGATACCCCCCACCACATCTGGCTAATTTTTGTATTTTTAGTGAAGACAGGGTTTCACCATGTTGGCCAGACTAGTCCCTAACTGACCTCAAGTAATCCGCCTGCCTCAGCCTCTCAAAATTTTGGGATTACAGGCATGAGCCACTGTGCCAGCCATTTCTATACATATTTTGTTTTATTTATTTATTTTTGAGACAAAGTTTCACTCTTGTTGCCCAGGCTGGAGTGCAATGGTGTGATCTTGGCTCACTGCAACCTCCACTCCCGGATTCAAGCGATTCTGCCTCAGCCTCCCAAGTAGCTGGGATTATAGGCATCGGCCACCAACCTAGCTAATTTTGCATTTTTAGTAGAGATGGGGTTTCTCCATGTTGGCCTGGCTGGTCTCAAACTCCCAACCTCAGGTGATCCACCCACCTCGGCCTCCCAAAGTGTTGGGATTACAGGCATGAGCCACCATGCCCAGCTTTCTACACATTTTTGATTAAAGATGTTTTGTGCATTTGTTTTTTGTGATGTTAGAATGTGTATGTGAGCTGCGGTATCTGGTCTGGGAATGGTCAGTCTTTTGTATGTGCTAATCCTTCTGTAGCTAGAAGTTTGGTGCTGTAAAGGAGGCTTCTCTGTAACAGGTTCATCCACACTGGCTCCGTCTGCCTTCAGCCAAAGAGATGAATTTGTCAGTGGCTGGATTCAGGAGCGTGGCCTGTGACTGGAAGCCAGAGGTGCAGGGAAACAGCTCAGCGGAGACTGAGTTCGTTGTGCAGCTATGTGGCTGCTCCAGTGCGCTGACTGGACTGAATGCTTTCAGAAACTGTTTAAGTCCTGGTTGATTGTGCTGGAGGACAGCCTTTTTGCCACCTCATTGATGGTTCAGTAGGTTTTGCCCACAAGACCCTTAAAAGCTGGTGCTCTGGTACAGATCGCCCCTTAGCCAATTTCATTAATATCAGCTCCCCACAAAAGCAAGTCTGGGACATGGAACAAGTGGTTTAAAGGGTTAGGAGGGAGAGGAGGGGTGAGACCCTGTCTGAGCCTCTTGAGTGCCTAGAAGCCTATGGAGCAGCTTCTCTCTGGGACTTGCCAGCCGAGCTAAGCAGCATCTTGAGTTCAGTGCTTCTTAGGGATGTGCCATGTGTAAGTGCAGTGATGGAATTGAGGGGCACTGTCTAGAGTGAGTAGGACACAGGCTTCAGAATCCGGCCAGAGTCAGGTCCTGGCTTTGTCCCTTACTGGCTAACCTCTGAACCTCACTTTTCTTAGCTGGACAATGGGGATGGTAAACGTTGTGAGTGAATGAACTAATTCATGTAAAGGACACAGCACGGTTCCTTAAACCCAGTAGATACTCTCAGTGGGTGCTGTCACTACTCTTACTGTTACCAGTTACAATTTTTGGACCATGAGAAGCTTTAGATGTTCCGGAAAGCAAAAGAAAACTGAGAAAGTGAAACAGCCAAGACCACACACCTAATTAGGGACAAAAGCAGAACAGAGCTGTGACTTCCAAGTCCAGTCCAGAAGTCTTCCTATGCCAGCGCTCCAGGGAGCAGAGAGAGATGCGCTCCGCAGTTCTCATCCGGGAACAGTGGGCAGACGCAGGGCCACCCCATGAGAGTTACATGATGCTCCATAGGACCATGGTATGTCACTGTTTGTGACTGTATTTGTTTTCACTCTGCTGACAAAGATATACCTGAGACAGGGTAATTTATAAAGAAAAAGAAGGCTGGGCATGGGGGCTCATGCCTGTGATCCCAGCACTTTGGAAGGCCAAAGTGGGCGGGTCACCTGATGCCAAGAGTTTGAGACCAGCCTGACCAACATGGAGAGACCCTGTCTCTACTAAAAATACAAAATTAGTTAGGTGTGGTGGGTGCCTGTAATCCCAGCTACTTGAGAGGCTGAGGCAGAACTGTTTGAACCCAGGAGGTAGAGGTTGCAGTGAGCCGCGATCGTGCCATTGCACGATCACTCCATTGCACGTTTCACTCCAGCCTGGACAACAAGAGTGAAACTTTGTCTCAAAAAAAAAAGTTTAATGGACTCAAAGTTACGGTTCCCTGTGCCTGGGGTTGCCCTACAATCATGGTAGAAGGTGAAAGGCCTGTCTTCCATAGAGGCAGATAAGAGATAAGAGAGAATTTGTGCAGGAAAAATAGCTTTTTATAAAACTATCAGATCCTGTGAGACGTCTTCACTATCACAAGAACAGCACAGGACCATCCCCATGATTCAATGACCTCCCACCGGGCCCCCCCACAACACACGGGAATTGTGGGAGCTACAATTCAAGATGAGATTTGGGTAGGGACACAGCAAACCATATCAGTGATCTTTATTTTTCAGTCAAAGCTGTCAGTTACCATGATACATTTAAGGCAAAGTTAGGCAAATGTGACACAGTTAAAAGGTGTCCTTAGTGCTACAGACGTCTTCATTTCTGTCATTCTTGCCATTCATCACCCCAGGTTCTCAAATTAGAACTGGGGCTGGCTGTGCTGCTCAGGAATTCCAGCAGAGCATTTATCCCCCGGAGGCTGGAGGTGACCTTAGCTCTCTCAATTCTACAAGGACAAAGAAGCAAAGCTAACTAATGCTGGTGACTCTGATGGTCCACGTCATGGAAGCGTCTGCAGTCAGTGGCAGGAAGGACTAGCTGTATGTGCAGTTGCCCCAGGGGTCTGTCTGCAAAGCATGGTCCAGGGGTCATTCCAATGTCCTTGTAGAGACCACCCTTTTCAATTTTGGCAGCTGCCTGCCTGACTTGGATTCAAAACACACATGATATTGAAGTTCCCAGGGACTTTAGAAAGTGATCTAATGATATTCCTGTAAGGCTTTTCAGCTTCATTTTGTCGAAGTTGGGTATAAGATTGAATTCTACCATGTTCTGCCTGTTCTCAGGCTGGTCTGAGGAGCCTGACACTTGGGCATCTCCAATCTTGCCATACTGTGGTTGTCTTTCCTTGATGTCCTATTTTCTGGGGATTCCTGGTGTTTGTCAACTGTGTGTACCAGCCATTTCCTGTGATGCTGCTTAACAGGCAGGATTTGGGAGAAGATGGACTCTGTTAACCTCCAAAAACTTAAAATGTAGGACTGTTGCATGCCCTTAATTTGGGACAGAGTAGGTGCTTAGCACACCAGTGAGGAAACAAGCTCAGAACAATGAGTGGGAAGGCAGGAAGTCAACCAAGGTTGCCCTTCCTTCTGCACCTGGATGAGGGAGCTAGACCAAGACTGATGCAGAAGAAATCAAAAGAACACAAATGAGCTGGGAGCAGTGGTTTACGCCTATAATCCCAGCACTTTGGGAGACCAAGACAGTTGGATCACTTGAGGTCAGGAGTTTGAAACCAGCCTGGCCAACCTGGTGAAACCCCATCTCTACTAAAAATACAAAAATTAGGACCAGGTGTGATGGCTCATGCCTGTAATCCCAGCACTTTGGGAGGCTGAAGCAGATGGATCACCTGAGGTTGGGAGTTCGAGACCAGCCTAACATGGAGAAAACCCCCCGCTATGAAAAAAAAAAATACAAAATTAGCCAGGCGTGGTGGCACATGCCTGTAATCCCAGCTACTCAGGAGGCTGAGGCAGGAGGATCACTTGAACCCAAGAGGCAGAGGCTGAGGTTGCAGTGTGC